GCTTAGTTGGGGATGCTTGACTGATTGCACAGACACTATTGGAAGAGAACTGAACTGGATGATGACATCAATGAATCATCAATGAACTGACTTTAGCTGAAAAAATTGTCCTGTTGCATTATCAGAACACTATTTTCCAGTTTAACAATGTAAAGCGGCTTTGACACAATCAGTATTGTATAAAGCGCTATAGAAATAAAGTAAAAAATATATAGATGATAGATAGATAGTTTTTGTCGACTAGCAGTATCTTTCTCACCCATTGTTGCTCAGGTTCAGGTGTGTGACGTTCTGCAGTCCGCTGAACGCGCTGTGGTCGAGTCTGTGAATCGCGTTTCCGGTGATGATCAGGCTGCTCGCGTCGCTTGGGATCGCGGCGGGGACCCGGAGGAGCGCGGCAGACGCGCAGTGCACCGTGCGCTGAGCTCCAGAACACTCGCAGCGCAGCGGACACGACGCGACGCACGCGGAGACGCACAACATCGCGCAGACGAGCGTCAGCATCATCCAAGCGCTCGCGCTCAGGGTCCGGAGCGTCTGATGGCACCGCGTTCGCTGTAAGTGCACATGCTGTAGATGCTCCTCAGCAACACACTCACCTAGAAAGAGCTCCTGATCTCAGATGTAGAAGCCAGGGTGGGTGGAGCTGAATACACTCCACAACACAACACATCCATCTATTCACAGGACTGGGGTCAGCGTGTGTTCTCTGTCCATAAGGAACATTTATAGAGCAGCTTTTGCTTTGTAAAGATGTATACCGCACTGTTAGGAAACAATAGCATCACTCATCTTTCCTTTGTCATGCATTAAATTCCCAAATATACAGCAGTTAAGAAAGATGCACAAACACTTCAGTCAAGAAGTGTGTTGGGTTTAAAATGCTAAAGCAACTGAAGAAGACAGTCAGTATTGTTTGTTTGCGGTCAGTTAGTGGATGATGTTGATGGTTAATGTGATTCGCTACACCTGTGTGAACTTGAGAACTAACTTCATAAATCCACTAAACATGAACAAAACACATTGGATTCAAACACTGAGATTTAAAACATCAGGAAGAAAAGTATGAAAGCTCGTTTCCACCAAGGTATAAACAAATAATAATAAAAATAAAGTAATTGCAATTTTGTATCTCACAATTGAGACTTTTTTTCTAATAATTCTGTTTTTTTCCTCACAATTCTGACTTTTTTTGCTCACATAAAGTCTAATTTGCAAGAAAAAAAGTCAAGAGTTGCGAGTTAAAAAGTCACAATTGGCTTTTTTATTTTTAATTCCATGGCAGACATTTAAAAAAAAAAATCTGAATTCTGAGTAAAAAAGTCTAAATTGCGAGATATAACCTTAGAATTGCAGGTTTTGAACTGAACTGCGAGAAAAAAGTCAGAATTCTGTGAAAGTGAGAATTTCGAGATGTGAACTGAATTGCGAGAGAATTCAGAGAATTGCTCGTTTATATATAGCTTGTGATTTACATTTTTTTCTTGTTTTGTTTTCAGAATTGCAAGAAATAGTCAGAATTCTGAGATAAAACGTTGCAATTACCTTTTTATTTTTAATTCCATGGCAGAAAAAAAACGCAATCGCAAGTGTAAAATTAGAATTCTGAGGGGAAAAAAAAGTGTCTAAATTGCGAAATATAACTAAGATTTTCGAGATGTGAACTGAATTGCGAGAAAAAAGTCAGATTTGCAAGTTTATAGATTGCACTTTAAATTTTTGTTTTGTTTTCAGAATTGCAAGAAATAGTACGAATTCTGAGATTAAAAATTGCAATTACCTTTTTATTTGTAATTTTGTGGCGTAAACAAAAAAAATAGAATTGCGAGTGTAAAATCAGAATTCTGAGGAAAAAAAGTGTCTAAATTGCGAGATTTAAACTTAGATTTTCGAGATGTGAACTGAATTGCTAGAGAAAAAAGTCAGATTTGCAACGTTATAGCTTGCAATTTAAAGGTTTTTTTTTTTCAGAATTGCAAGAAATAGTCAGAATTCTGAGATAAAAAGTTGCAACTACCTTTTTATTTTTAATTCTGTGGCAGAAACAAAAACAGAATTGCAAGATGTAAAGTCAGAATTGTGAGATAGTCACTATATACCTATTTTAAATCCGATGGCAGAAACAGGCTTACATAGTAAAATAACACCAGTGAAGAGAAAAGATCCGGCACTATAAGAACGCTAGGTCTGTTTCAGCATTTCAAACCACAGAAACTTGTGTTTGTGCTCTCGTTCTTTACAATATGAAATTAAAAATAAAATAAATGAGGGCAAACATTATGGATACACTTTTTTTATTTGGTCATATAATATAAATGAAGATGTAAACATAAAAAATCTTAAGGAATAAGCAAATTTACAGTCTCCCTTGAATATAAAACAATACACGCCTGGATCATTAAACATAACTGATGAAAACTGACTTCAATGCAAGCAGTTCTAGGAAAAATGATGGAAAACCGTTTTGACAGGAAATTGCTGCCATGTTTCATTTAGCCCCATCCATGTATGTGATATGATTATATTACAAATACATCAAATGCAATGAAAGCAGTACTGGAAAAAGTCCCTGTAATTCACTTATTTACCATGGTACTGATAGTCTGCGTGTCTCCGTGTCACTAGATGCAGAGGTCTCTGTATTGAGACGCATTCGATGTAAACAGCATCTCTCTCAGTGTTGAAGCCAAAGTCATCGCAGGTTGATGGCAAGGGCGATGGTGACTATGATCCCACAAATCATCAGGAAAGGCAGCCAGGTCTTCAGGAACCCCACAAAGCTGCAGAGGAACAGAAGCCTTCGAATGAGCCTTTTAGACGTTAAAGGGTTCAATTCTGTCATCGGTTACTCGGCCTCATGTCAGTCCAAACCCATTTCTAAGCAGGGTTTCATGAAGGTAAAATATAAAAAAATACAACTTCCTACCAATCTCCATTATTTTGAATGGCTTGAATAGCCCTGTTTCCAAACACTAGAATATGAAAATAACTTTTACTGTACCTTCTGATCACACTGCAAAAAAAAAAGTGACGCTCTTGTTTTGTTTTTCAGTGCAAATGTCTAAATTCTTCAGTCTAAAGAGTAAAAAACACATATCTGCCACACTGCAAAAAAATGATTCTTAGTGTTTTTGTATAAATATCTAAACATTCTTGAATCAAGATGTATTTACTTGAGAAGCAAAATGACTTTAGATATTAAGTCTGAAAAATTTATCAAAATTTTGTTAGTTTTTGCGTACTACAAGAAAAATTATCTGCTGATGGGGTAAGAAAAAAAAATGAATTCAAAGGGGAAATTATGGGGATTATTTTTCTTACCCCACTTGCAGATATTCTTGTTTGAAGCATAAACTTTTTTCAAAAAACAAGTCATTCTGCATCTGAAGCAAACATATCTTGATTCAAGAATGTCTAGATATTTGTACAGAAAACAAGACACAAATACTGAGGAAGATGTTAATTTTTTTGCAGTGCATGCAACATTTAATGTCACGACTTCCGCTCCGATTTAAGAGCTTTTTAAGCCTTATTTTGTGGAAGGGAGAATTAAGACCTTTTTAGGATCCACAGAAACCTTGCTAAGGCAGAGTGTCATGGCTTGCATAAATTATGACAGAATTTTAATTTTTGCCTGCTTTAAAACGCTGAATTGTGAGGATAATCTTACACAGAAACCCACAATCCAGCTCTCTCCCCAGAAGCCCTGATTGTGTGCGTCAGGAGTTGTGATAAATCATTCAGTTAAAGGTAAGGACACACTGACTTCTGAATGCTAAGGCTGCATGTCTTTCACAGAGAAGGCAATCCCAGAATGCACCGAGCAGATGCAACAAGGGAATTTTGATTATAAAACAGGGTTTCTGCGGGTCTTAAAAAGTCGTGGCATTAAATGTTGCATGCACTTGAAAAAAAAAAAAGATGCAAAATTAACTTAAGAAATGTTATGAAAAGTTTATGCTTAAAACAAGAACAAATATCTGTCAGTGGAAAATAAAAACGTGTTTTCCCTTAGAATTAAGTAGATTTTTCTGAACCCACTGGCAGATATTTATTCAGTTTTTTTTTTTTAATAATAAACTTAAAATCAATTTCTCATAAACCGTGACTTCTCATCATCTCATGTCACTTTGCTTCTCAAGTAAATGGGTCAAAGACGAAAAAGGGTCTAAGCATAAAAACAATAAGTGTAAAACTGCTTTAAATTGTTGTTGTTTTTCCCCAAAAAATTTGTAAAAATTTTCTGTTTAATTTAATTGCAATTTTGTTTTTGTTTTTCTGAGCAAAAAATAAATATCATACATTTTCCCCTGATTTACAGAAGAGACCCAGTAAAATCATTCAGTGTAACAATCGTGTCAGGCATATTTACAACAAACAAAAATCAATTTATGACATATTACAAGACTAATTACTTTCACCCCAAATACTAATTAGTTGTAATTTTACATTTTTAAAATGTGCCACTATCCTAGGTTTTGCCCATTTGTCAGTAAGATTTTTTTTACTAATTTAAAACACAATAAAATTTAATATGTTCTCTTATTCTTTTATATATTTTAATATGTACAGGTCAGAATAAGCATGTTGTTTGAATTTTTACATAAATATTGTGTTACACTTTAACAATTTAAAGCAGTATTACACTTATTGTTTTTATGCTTAAACCCTTTTTCGTCTTTGACCCATGTATATATTAAGTTTTTATACATTTGATTACTTTATACAATGCATGTAGCATTTCTTATTTTGTTCTACTGTATTTTTTTTTTTTATTTAGTCCAATTGCTTGTAATTATTCTTATTTAATCGCCGACTGTTTACTTGTCTTCAGTGAGCTTGAGTTTTTTATTTATTAATTTTTTTTTTGTGATATTAACACTAGTGATAACAATTATGAAATTTCTAAGTTATCAAAAATTTTGATATCATAAAAGACCTTATTTAAAGCAAAAATAGCTATACCGTGATATATATCGTTACCATGAAATCAAATTACTCGTATCGTGATAAGAAAAATTTTATACTTTTACTCTGATACTCAAAAGTGCAAAAGGCGATCATAGTGATATCCAGCTCATGAACGAATCTTTTGATTCAATTTTGATTATTGCGCCCCATTCTGCCCTCTTTCCAGCGGTGCGCTTTCACTCCTCCATAAAAGCCCGATTTCACTTGCGAATCTGTAAAATCATAACGCGACTTTTGCAAAATGTCACGTGCTTGATTTATTAAAGTTGATTAGATTTATTCATGTTTTTAAAAGCGTGAAAGAGAACTATCGCTGCTCCTCAGGAGGATTTCTGTGCATGCGCTCTGAGACGGAACAGAGCCCGCTTCACATTGTGCCTAACAACGCCCCTTAGCTGTTACAACTTCACTGTAAACCACAGCTTCACGGGGCTTTCCAGCGGTGCTCTTTCGCTCCTCCATAAAAGCCCAGTTTCACGTGCAAATCAGTAAATCATGTAACGTGACTTTTGCAAAATGGGACGTGCTTGATTTATAGAATTAGATTTATTCATGTTTTTAAAAGCATGAAAGAGAACTATCGCTGCTCCTCAGGAGGATTTCTGTGCATGCGCTCAGAGACGGAACAGAGCTTAAGGTGCGTCTAAACGCTCAAATACACACAAACACGAGTCAAAATGCGGCGCTTGGTGATTATTAAATCACGTAAACCCTCATCGGTTATGTAACAAGTGAACGTAACAGTTGAGAATACGTGTGTAACAGTAAATTGAATCTGTGCGGCTCTTAAAGTGACAGCAGCCTAATATTCATGTGTGCTTAATATTAATCAAACAACAAAAATCACTCACTGCTCTTGACCTGAAGAACTTTTGTAGCTTTAATAAGAAACAAAGGAAGTTAAGAATTAAACTGTGAAGACTATGCTGTTTTATTTTACATTCGATTATTCAGTTTCTGTTATAGACTGTTGAATACTTTAGACTTGCATAAAAAGCACAGTTTGTTCCATTTGTATCTTTTTTCTCTCTAAAATGTAGATGTCATAGCAGCCTTATTTACAGAAAATATATATTTGATATATATCGCCATCTTTAAAAAAATCACTCGTATAAAGTTTTGGTCACGTGGCCCACTCAATAATCGTGATTATGGTTTTTGCCATAATCGAGCAGCCCTACCATCCTGGTTTTGTACTCCTCGGACGCATCGTGCACGGCCAAATCCCAGGCGTTTGCTCCGCCGCCGTACACTTTATTCCTATCCAGCTTCCAGAACCTGAAACAACAAGCGTTGAATGAGTCACACGCTAGTTCAGAAACATTCAGATGATGACGAATAACCACATTCACTAGTTTTAAACTCACTTTGTTGGCTTTCCAAACGCCATGTTGTCCTCCTGTGGGAAACAGAAATGAAAGTAGTCAGTGCATCAGTGAAGAAAACACTATTTTCAATCATCAGGTATAAACTCACTGATACGAAATAAGGCCCTGCAAAGTCTCTGATCACACCGGCGGAAGTGCAGATGCCCATGTGACCAATGAAGGGCAGGAACCACCTACAAACAACAACAACAACCACCAGAGGATGTCAACAGTGATCACAGCTGAAGTTTCCCACTTTGTTTTCATAATCCAATACTCGTGTGAGCTCAGTTCAGCCTTTATACTCGCGTACTTCCGAGATGTTTTATGACTCACGTCAGAACCGGGATGGGCGTCCAGACGATGCAGTGCGGATAACGGCTCATCTCTTTGTCGATTTTCTCGAAACCGCTGTGGAACTGCTTCATCGTGTCTATCTCGGTTACGTCCGCCATCACAGTCTGCGCGCGGTGACGTCATCGCGTCCGCCTACGCGTGCGCCGCCGGACAATCTCATAGGATTACATACAGTATGTTCTCTCCTGCTCAGCAAGGCTGCATTGATTTGATCAAAAATACTGTAAAAATTGTGAAATATTATTAGAATCTAAAACAGCTGTTTTCTATGTGAATATGTGTTAAACTGTAATTTATTTCTGTGATCAAAGCTGTATTTTCAGTAGTCTACAGCAGTGTTTCTCAACCAGGGGTCCGTGGACCCCTAGAGGTCCTTGAGGATGGTTCTGAATCGGACTGGGGTCCGGTACGCCAAAAGGTTGAGATTCACTGGTCTACAGTGTCACATGATCTTCAGAAATCATTCTAATATGCTGATTTGAAAATGACTTAGTACTTTTATTCATCAAGGACGCATTAAATTGATCAAAAGTGCCGGTAAAGACATTTATAATGTTACAAAATATTTCTATTTCAGATAAATGCTGTTATTTTGAACTTTCCTGTTCATCGAAGGATCCTGAAAATAAAAATGGGTTTTCACAAAAATATGAAGCAGCACAACGGTTTTCAACGTTGATAATTAGGGATGTAACTATTCACTCAACTCAACTGACGATTTTTTTTTTAACAAAAGGAGATTAAAGACAAATTATAAATTAAATGTGTTCTTTTATTATTGCTTGGACAAAATACTGTACGTTTCTTTGTGAAATTGAAATATAACACTATAATAATAT